AGCGTAAAACAACAATTAGATAGACCAAAAAAAAAAAAAAAAAAAAAAAAAAAAAAAAAAAAAAAGACTTCACACTTTGACCCAATGCAATGAGAAACCACACATTTAAAAAATAAAAATAAAAAACAGCTGAGACAAGTGAAAGCGCACTGCTTTTTCTCTGTTCTGAAAGTCTTGAATGAAAAATAATCCAAAAGATGCCCTGAGGAAATCTCCAATGGAGAAAGGCGTCCGTGACGGGCTGTTCAGAGCGTGTCTGCGCGCAGGTCCTTGGACGTGTAGGACTCTGGAGTGAATGGTGTCAGAGCGCCTCTGAGCCGCTGAATATAGAGAGCCAGCAGCTCTGTGCCCATTGCGCCTCCCCTCGCGTTTGGGTGATCGTGCATCCATTCAGCAAGGGGAGCTGGTTGGCTGATGGCTTAAAACTCCAAGATCCGTCCCCATGCCCCTCTTACCGCCTCCCCCCTCCATCCTGTGTGAGCGAGTGCATGAGTGTCTATGTCCTTTGAAAAAAAAAAAAAAAAAAAAGAGCCCTTCACAGATTTGGTGTGTAGTCCGCTTTTATTTACAGGAAGACTGGAAAATAGATCCATTTTTCAAATACATTTCCTTCATCTCATTACCCACCACTACACGGATTGATAACTGGATTAAGAAGAAGTAGGAGGATGCTCTGGGTTGATCTTTCTGCAAATAATAGATAAGTCGCTCCGGATGCTTTGTCTAAAGGACATCGACGTGAATCATATTTCCAGCTGATGGTCATGACTCATGACTAGAGCTTTCTGGGTTTCTCTGTTTATTCCTCCCAGCTTGTTTTGCTTTGCAAAAATGTTTCACCCTCTTGAACATTATCACAGTTTCTTAAGTGAAAGCTACACACTTTAATTTAGCGGTTTTTGTGACAGACAGGCCAGAAGCGGAGCTTCATTGTCAAATGAAAAGAAAAACTTCCTGAAAATACTTTTTGAAGTAAAATCCTCAACAGTCCATGATGCAGTTTTTGATCAGGTCTCACCCAGTTTCTTTGTGTGCAGAATATACACATGCCCACAGCATCATGCTGCCACCACCAGTTTTCACAGCAGAAATGGGCATTTAAGGTGACATTTGTTTCCCTGCAATGCAGAAAGATCGGTCATTATTGCTTTGAATTATATGTATGTACTGTGTTTATTTACTGCATGATGACTGAATAATTCAGCAATGGCGTTTTTGCCAGTTGCAAAGCTAGATTTAACAAAAACAAAAAACAAAAAAAAATGTAACTAATAATTTGATTACTTCAGTTCCTTATGAATTCTTTTAGGTCTTTTCACAACTTTTGTTGACTTGGGGTTGCAGTTGTGTCATAATCTATTTCCATTTTTGAGGATGGACTGAATAGTGCTACCTGTGAAGTTAAAAACATGTTGTTTAGCCTTTAAGCTTTTCCCCAACTTCATGCCTCGACCTGTCAGTTGACCTTTGTCAGCAGCTGATTGCATTAATTTCACAAAAGTTATCAGAATAAATGGGTCTGAAGAAAATAAAAAAAGAAAAAACTTTACTTGTGTAACTTTTGAAAACCACACATCATTGTCCTGCACCATCAGAGTTACACGATATAATATACAATTTCAATAAAACACCTTCATGTTTGAGGTTATAATTTAACTAAACGTGGGGGGAAAAAAAGTCAAGAAACTGTACTTTCTTGATTACGTAAGATTTCTGGACACAGGGAGCCACTGCCTGCCAAACATGCGTATTCACAACCAACTGGTCCTAACTCGCCCGGGGTCTCTCGTCCTGTGCTGGGAGGTCTGGGAATAAAGCCCGAGGGTCATCACAGAGGAGACATGCATGCAGGAGCAGAGACGCAGACAGACAGAGAGCTTGCAGACAC